TCTTTTACCTCTTTTATTAAATTTACTCCTAAGTATTTTACTTGTTTAGTTATTTTGATATTTTATTCACTTATTTATTTTGTAACAGGAATTTTTCTCTTGAATTATTTTTTGTTTAATTTTTAAATGATAGTTCTATTTAAAATATTGCTAGTTCTTTAATGATTTGTTTTCCAGATTTAATAAAACATTTTTTTATCTTAAGGTAGCTGTAGTTTACATTTAGTTGTATACATTTGTGAACCAAGATGAAATAATTTTTCTCTCTAGAATTCAGAAATTATTAGTACTTCTTGTTTTTATAGTAATGTTATTTATATAAGTTTAATAATAATCTTTTCTCTATATATCAGAACATAGTGGGAACCATTTGTTATATCACCCAGTTATCTTGGCTTCTTTTTTTGTATAGTTTGTTGTTAGCATATATTACATTACTAATTTTTGTTGATTTTGTATTTGGCAACTTTGCTGAATTTGTTAGTTCTAATGGTCTTTTTAGTTGAGTCTTTAGTGTGTCCATATAAAAGATTATATTGTTTACCAACAGGGACAATTTAACTATTTCTTTTCCAATTTTGCTGCTTTTTGTCTTTTTTTCTATGCTAATTGCTTTGGCTTGGATTTCCAGGATTATGTTAAATACAAAGCACCCTCATCTTGTTCCTGACCTAAGAAGTGTCAGTGTCAATTATTCCCTCCTCTTTAATATTCTTAATGAGTTTGATAAGAATTGGTATTTGTTCATTAAATTTTTAGCAGTATTTAGCAGTGAAGCCATTAGCAGGGATTTTCTTTGATAAAAAACATTTTATTCAGCCCTCTTATTTGGTATCTCTTATGATCCCTTGCATTTCTGTGGTATAATTTGTAATGTGTCCTTTTTCATTTTTGATTTCATTTATTTGGCTCTACATTCACAGTGACATGCTTATAGAGTAAAGCATAATATCTTCTTTTTTCTTATATTTTTCACTAAGTTATACATCTAATTGCATTATTTTCACTTTCCCCCAACTTTCAGTGATTGAAACTTGAAATATCAGAAATATTCAAAGTCTCCCATTGGTTTTACCATCTTATATAAAGCTCTGGACTGAAAATTATTATTCCAAGGCAATTCTAAAATGTAAGGATCAACCTGAAGGCAGCAAAAGCTTAACTCATATTTGTAGATTTAGATGACAAGTAGTACAATGTGTCATAATGCAGAATGTTTCACTACAAGGAAAGCTGACTACAAGCCTAGAATCTATCGATAAACTTACATTTTTAACAAACCGATGATCGGAGTTGCAATATAATCCTGATATGGGAGGGACAGTCTACACATATATTGAATGTACCTTTATGATTAAGGCTGAGAATTAGCTATATTTGAAAGCAATTCTGTAGAGAAGTAGAAAAGAATTTTGATAGCTTTTTAAGTGAAAGATATGAAATAATAAAAATTAGCATCCCAGTTGAAGACAATGAACTATTTTACATAGATTTACATGTACTCCCGACTGAAATCCCACAAATAATGAGTCAAATATTTGTTAAAGCTAGCAACTCTTAGAATAAAACAAAGGGAGAAAACAGACAAAATCTTGGAAGCTAAAAAAAACAATTAAACAAGAAGTAACAGACTTAGGAGATCTGAGAATTTGGAAACTAAAATTGGCAGTGAAAAAAGTGGTAAAGCATGATGATTTATAGCACAGCACCTACAAAAGCCTCAGGAAGTGACAACAGTAGATAACTAGAAGGGTGAGTAAAAGTGAAATAAAAATTCCATTAGTTAAATGTTTCCAAGCTGATACATTTTTCACCAAACCATCTATATGCTGACATATCCAGCAGTCTTTGAATAAAATCAGACTAATTTTTAACCTTAATATGTCAAAGCGTTCTGCATCACCCACTGAGCCCAGTGAGATGTACAAGGACATCCAGATGACAAGAAGTTTCAAATTTGTACAAGATATTTTCTTAATTAAATGCTGGGTTTTTAATTTCCCGTTTTGATTACAATTTGTTCTCTAAGCATTATGTCATCCAAGTTAAATTAAATTTAGTCAATACATCTGTATCTCACACAACTCTAAAAGGATTTATTTTAAGTTACAGTATAAAATTATTTCTCAATAAAATTGTGAAGTAGGTTTCTTATAACAGGAAAAAGAAATATTTAGTGCTTGTTACAGTTTTGAGAAACTCTAATAATTAACACATTTTAAAGCATTTTAAACACAAATTGTTACTTCTTAAATGTTATATTTTCTGTCTATTCATTTACAAGTACAACATAGACAAGTAATGTAAAATATCTGTAAGTTTCTAGAAGGGAAATTTATTGCTTTTTTTTTTAACAAAGGAACAACTTAGCCTTTTTATTCAATAGTATGAGTTCCAAATTATTTCTCCAAAATCAAAATAAAATTAATTTTCAAAACAAGATGGTAGATCAGCAATCTCCATAAGTTCTTACTAATATTTCAGTAACCTGGAGAAATATGAAAATATCCCAGTAAAAATATCCCAGGAAACAACTTGCCAAAATTATCATTTTGAGAATATTTTAAAATGACATTTTTATACAGATATATTATCATGCTTCCAAAATTTACACAACTATAAAGTAATGAGTCTACATTCAAACTAGGTCTTCTGAGCAAAGATAAAGTATTTTTACTGTTAAAATGATTGCTCTTGATCAGCTTTCGGTAATATAAATGTGCATTTCTGTTAAACCACTGGAATTTCCACAGTCACTGGAATATAAAGAAAATAAGGCAAAATATTTTTAAATGTGCCTAAAGATCACAAAATCCATATTTAATGTACTTGTACTTCAATCTTCCATTCATGCTTCCACCAGATTGTTACCGTATATAGACTCCTGCTACTCATTTCTCCTAATCCCGCCCTCCCTGACTGCTTATCTCCATGTTGGGAATAGCGGTTTTTTGGCTTGTAAACCTTCTTCTTGCACTCTCACAATCAGTCAATCAATCAATGTGTGTGTGTGTATGTATATATGTGTGTGTGATATCCTCTCTCATTTCCTTTTTCCACAATAAAATCCAAAAGACTACTGGTTTGAAAGAATGTCACATAATGCAAATAATTGAAGGAAGATAACGTATTTATGTAGTTAATGCCTTAACTTATTCTAATCATAGACTTTTAAATAACCAAAAGGCATACTAAAATGTTAGTGGTCAGTAAGGCTTCTTAGAGTTTTCAACAGGCAGCTATTTTCAATATAAATCTTCTTACATTAAATGTCCAAACTCCAGCATTGCCTGAGGGGAAATGTTCACCTGCAGGAACCACTCCCATCAGTGAGAGTAATATTAAGGACTGCTTTGTGCTTGTGTCTTATGCATATATGTGTGTGTCAGTGTGTGTATGAACAATATAATATGTGTACTTTTTCATTTGCATAGTCTTTGTGTACCTATTTCCCCATATTTTGAGAAGCATGAATCTGTTTTTCTTCTGTACCCTCCTCTGCAGCCAGCTGCTTGTTGATAGTAGAAATCAGTGCTGAATTTTTAGCAATGTTGAAACATCAGAGGAAGAATTGAAAATTACATTTGATTAAAAGCTGATTGTTAGAAATTAGGTTAAATATGGAAAATCACTATTGACACCTCTATTCCTCCTCTTAACTATCAGAAAGTCAGAACCATAAGAAGAATTAAAGCTGATGATTTCCAAGACAGCTTGAGGAAGATCATTAGACTATAGGCATTTTTGAAGCAAAATGATAGATTGTGAAATAAAATACACTTAATAAAAGATATTAGGTTAGTAAATACAAAGCATATATGATTCTATCTAACCATATATGAGTAAAGAATTGTTCACTTTTTTAAGCATAGGGAATCTATTTGACTCTCTCAACATTGCCTGAAATAAGCAACAATATATCTGGAAAATTAGGAATGAGATTTTCTAATTTGTGTTCATTGTAACATACATTGTTGAGATAGATTATTTGATTATGTTCACATGGGAATAATACCAAGAGTAGCATTTGTATTTTGTTTCACTAGAGATTAAACAAATAACACACATCAGTGATCAACTTTTAGATCTTGTTAAATCCTTAATATTCAAATGTATTATGGGTAATCATTATGGCGTAAATCTAATGGCTTCTGAAGGCTATATAAAATGACATAACTACTTAAGAGATAACTACTTAATATTTATCCATATTTGTGCCATAGTATATTGTAATGTACATTCAAATGACAAAGTTTCTCATTCAATATATTTTTATCATATTTTGTTATCACTAGTCTTCTAATTAGAAAATTGAATCTTTTAAATTGTAAGAAAAAACAATAAATATAGGGACCTAGCATTGAAACAATGGGCTCCATCCAAAATTTGAATGGAAGTTATTGAGGAAAGTCCTGGCACAACAGAAAAATCTCCTGAATCACTAGATTTTTGTCTTTCATATATATATTATATATATATATAATATGTCATTTATATATAATATATATATAATATGTCATTTATATATAATATATATATAATATGTCATTTATATATAATATATATAATATGTCATTTATATATAATATATATATATAATATATATATTAGTTGGTCAGGAGATGTGATGGCTAATATTGAGTGTCAACTTGATTGGATTGAAGGATGCAAAGTATTATTCTTGATATGTCTATGCGGTGTTGCCAAAGGAAATTAACATGTAGGCATTAAAAGTAGGCAGTCAACTGGGAGAGACATACCCAGCCTCAGTCTGGGTGGGCGCTATCCAGTCAGCTGCCAGTGTGGCTAGAATAAATCAGGCAAAAGAAAGTAGAATGAACAGACTTGCTCAGTCTTCTAGCTTTCATGTTTTTCCCATGGTGGCTGCTTCCTACCCTCAAACATAAGATTTAGGTCTTGGACTCTTGGACTTATACCAGTGATTTGCCAGGGGCTCTTGTGCCTTCAGCCACAGACTGAAGGCCTCACTGTTGGCTTACCTACTTTTGAGGTTTGGGGACTCAGACTGGCTTCCTCGCTCCTCTCTTTGCAGATGGCCTATTGTGGTACCTCACCTTGTGATAGTGTGAGTCAGTTCTCCTAATAATCTTCCCTTCAAATATGTGTATATCCGATTAGTTCTGTCCCTTTAGAGAACCCTAATAAAGAGATAAAAGGTTTAAGAAAAAATAAGAATTCCTCAGTGTTCTCATATTCTCATTTCATTGCAGAAATACGTTTTTCTCATCAAATTATCTTTTAAATAATGGATACACTTCTAGCCTATTTATAAAACCCTGTATAGCCTATGACATTGTTTACATATTCAACAACAGAAGAAGGAGAAGGAAAAATATTATACAAATCATCTCAAAGATTAAATATAAATTAATTTCAAATTATTGTAGACTTGCTATGAGTTTAATGGTAATACAATTCTTAAAACCTAGCTTATGAAACATTTTGGAACCCACTGGTAAAGAAGCAGTGTTTATACATTCACTAACATTAATTGTTACACCACTCTCTCCATGTAGAATTTGTATCAGAATTTACACTAAACCTCTTAAAGATGAGTATCTTTAAAGTATTGCAAAGACTATGTTTAAAATAATAAACAGTCTATTCACTTAGGATAAAACTGGTGTTAAAAAACATGTGCCTTATAAAAGGCCATTTCTAAGTTCCATAATTTTGATCAAATTACCTTCATAAATCTTTGGTTATTTAGCATAAAAATAGAGGGATCAGAGGATTTCCATGGAGGGGTGAAACAAGATGGTAGAGTAGTAGTCTCCGTAAGTTTTTACTAATATTTTTTGCAACCTGGAGAAATATGCAAGTATCCCAGTAAAAAACAAATAAGATTCAATCCAAATAAGACTATCTGAAGATATATTATAATCAAATTGTCAACAAATCAAAGACAATGAAAGGATGCTAAGAGCATCAAGAGAAAAGAAGCAAATAAATTATAAGGGAGTTTCAACACACCTAGCTGCAGACTCTGCAGTCATCACCCCATGGGCTAGGAGATTGTGGAATGGTATAGTCAAAGTGCTGAAGAAAATAACAAAAACAAACTGTTAACCAAGATTGCCATACCCATCAAAGCCATCCTTCAGAAATAAAGGAGAAATGAAGACCTTCTGACACACAAAACCCGAGAGAGTTTATTACCACCAGACTTGTTTTAAATTAAATGCTAAAAATAGTTCTTCAAGCTAAAAAAGAAGATAATAGGCAACACAAACCTTTTAAAAGTATAACACTCACTAGTACAAGTAAGTATACAGTCAAATTCAGAATATTCTAATACTCTAAGTGTGGTGTATAAATCACTTATATATCTTTGGTCTAAATGTTTAAAAGACTATCAAAAACATAAGAGGTGCAATAATTTCTGAAGGTATATGTAATACAACAAAATGTCACTTATGACATTAAGAACTTACAATGTGAGGCACAATGGAGTCAGTGTAGAGAGTTTTTTTCTGATCATAGTTACATTGTCATTCATTAAAATAATCTATCATAACTACAAAATATTTTTATATTATAAGCTTCATGGTAACCACAAAGCAAAATTTTGTAGATACACACACAAAATAAAAAAGCAACAAGAAAGGATTTGCAGAACAACTAGAAAACTACAGTTATATGTCCTTATCTATCAGTAGTTACCTTGAATGTAAATGGAGTAATTTCTCTAATCAAAACATAGCGTGACAAATTGGGGGGTGGAGGGGGAAACCCCAATTATCTGCTGCTGCCTACAAGAGACTCATTCACTTGTAAGGATCCATAGATTGAAAATGAAGAACTGAAAATGGATATTTCAGAAAAATGGAAACCAAAAGCAAGAAAGAATAGCTATACATATTTCTGATAAAATGGATTTTAAATCAAAAACGATTTTAAAAGACAAAGGAGGTCACTATATAATGATAAAGTGGTCAATTCACCAAGAGGGTATAACAATATATGCAGCAAACATCAGAACATCTAAACATAAAGGAAACATCAATAGATCTGAAGGGAGAGATAAACTGCAATATAACAGTAGGCGATTTCAGTGCCTAACTTTTAGCAATGAACAGATTATCCAAACATAAAACCCCAAAAGGATCATGAAACAAAAAATGCATTCTAGAGAAGATAGGCCTAAATACATATACAGAACATTTTATTTAACACCTGTGGAATATGTATTTTTTTCAACTAAACATCAAACATTCTCTGGGATAAATCATGTGTAAGACCACAAAAAGTATTAAAAATGTAAGAAGACTACCATCATATTAAGTATCATTTTTGACTATGATGATATAAAGTTTGAAATGAATAACAAGAAATATTGGAAAATCAATAAATATATATAAATTATTCTAAACAACTATGGAATTAAAAAATAAATTGAAAAGAAGTTTAAAATTTTCTTAAGACAAAAAAATGAAACCGCAGCATACAAAAATTTATGGGTAACCTCAAAAGCAGTTCTAAGTGGTAACTTTATAGCAATAAATACCTGCATCAATAAAGGTCATTGACTTACATACTTTTCAGATTAAAGTTAGATTCAATTATGTAATGTATGTAAAAGTGCTATGTGAAGAGCAAAGGAGAATGTAACATGCATTATTCTTATAAGTAAAATTTATAGCCTTAACAATGAAACAGGTAAAAATGTAAGCTGCTTTTATAATAATGGGAAATGAGAACCCTTTATGTTCCACAGTGGAATCCTTAGGGCTCCTTCCAGATCTGTTTAATATGATAATGCCATGTGATTCAGACTTTTCCAAATACATGCCTCAGAAAAATTTAGAGCACATGCCTGCAAAAAAAACCCACTTTATAAATGAAATCTTTGTGGCAGAAACTTTCTATTTCATTACAAGAATAATTGTCTTCTGTAAATATAAACTGGAGCAAATTCTAATATCTAATGTTCTTATATAGTATAGCACAATGACCCTCTCATTGACATGGTATTGAAACTGAAAGACTCAAAGAGGTTAAAAGATTTCTCCAATATCCCATAAATATAAACTAACACAGGAACAGAAAACTAAACACCATGTTTTCTCACTCATAAGTGGGAGTTGAACACATGGACACAGGGAGGGGAACATCACACCCTGGTGCCTGTTGGGGGTAGGGGTCAAGGGGAGGGAGAGCATTAGGACAAATAACTAATTCATGCAGGGCTTAGGTTTCTAGATGAAGGGTTGGTAGGTGCAGCAAACCACCATGGCACATGTATACCTATGTAACCTGCACGTTCTCCACATATATCTGAGAACTTAAAGTAAAATAACAATAAACAAAAGAATAGAAAACTTTAAACTCAAATGTGAAAGCTTAAAAGTCTTACCTAAAAAATCAAAACAAGAAAAGGAATCTTATTGACATTATTTCAGTTTAATGTTATTTCTGAAGGTTCTAGGCAGAGCAATAAACTAATAAACTATTTTAAGAATTAGAAAGGTCTCATTGTTCACAAATGATATAATATTATTAAAAATAAGGGAGGATTGCCTGAGCCCAGGAATTCCACATCAGCTTGGGCAACATAGCAGGATCCTGTCTCCATACACACAAATAAATAAATAAAAAGAAGAGTTCAACAAGGCTGCTTAATATATAAAAGAATTGCACATCTGTACATAAATATGAGTTAAATATGTGTTATAAACTATTTTAAAATGGCAACAAATTAATAAGATTTCTGTAAGTTAACTTGAGAAAGTAAGCACATGCTCTTTATGAAGAGAAATTATGAAACTACATGAAGAATGTTATAGTAGCAGTTGTTAAGGGAGACATCACTACATCCACATACAAGAAGATAAAGTATCACAAGGATATAAATTAGAGTTATCCCTACCTATCCCTTAGCGGTGGGCATTGCTTCCAGAACCCCCACACACACCACTACCAAAATCTGTGAGTAATGCAGTTGGCACCACAAAATCCAGTAGAACCTCTCTATATGGAAAGTCCCCTACCCAACCCTATATATAGATTTCTTATACCACAAGTATACATATTGCAATTTTGGTGGGCACTTGGTTGCAGATACAGAACCTACCAATTGGGAGTACAGAATGCATTTATAGAAAAAAGTTAGCATATAAGTGTACCTGCACAGATCAGATGCATATTCAAAGGTCAAGTGTACTTACACATTTTCTGTAAAATAGTGGAATTCAAATCAATTTCTAATGAGTTTTTAAGCAATTTAATACAATGCCTGCATATGTAGCTGATTTCAATATTTATATTAAAGGGCACAGGGCAAACATGAAGCAACACAATCCTGAAGAAGAACAATATCCAGAACTTGACCTATCCGATAAAAAAAAACTCATCATAAAGCCAGTTAACTCGGTGTTTGATTGGTTCATGGTTGACATTCTGTCAGATGGAATAGGATAATGAGTCCAGAAACAGATTCATGTACATGGAAGAACACTGCCTGACAGAGCTAGTAACACAGATGAATAAAGGAAGGATGATTGTTTTGTATGTTATCCTAAAATAATTGGTATTCTGCATTGCAAGGCCAAAGGCAGGGGTGGAAAGATTCTATGCAGAGTGAATACTAAACAGTTTTGTCATAGGCAACCGACAAAAAATGTTTTTAAGCAGTGGAGTTTCATGATTTGATTTTTATTTTAGAAAGTTACTTCCTATCCTTACAGGTTGCTATTAAATAATATTTTTTCTAACTTACCTCAATTTACTGGTGAAGAAAAATATGATTATATATGTTTTGCTTCCCTTCAAAAAGACAATTGACTGCTTTCAGAAAAAAATGAAAATTGTCCAACTACTGGACTAGTTCTTCTGGAGATTTCCTTGCAATCATCTATTTTCATATATTCTGCCACTATTGCTTATATATTTCCTTTAGCCACATTGAAGAGTCTCTGAAATCTTAAACTGGGTAGTCTAGTTTTTAATTTCAGTATTGTTGATTGTTTTGTAAATTTTTTTGGCATTTTGTGATTAATACTTTCTCTAAAACATTATGCTTTATTATAAATTGTGACTTAACAATGAATGTGCTAATGAATCTGCGTAAATCTATTAAAGAAAAAATGCTTCATAACTTATTTTGAAATATTTTTATATAACATAAATCT